AAAAAAAAAAAAAAGAAAAGAAAAATATTAATGATAGGTGTACAGTTGGCCAAGGTTTAGGAAACACTGCCATAATATATCATTTGTAGTAGTGTCTGAATGAGAACTTAGATGTTCCTTGCTACAGCGCTATGTCTGGTATGCTGAGTTCCCGATGTCACTGAGTGAAGCATCCAATATGGTACCTGTACTGACTGCTTGCCAGCCCACGGAGAATGGAGTCCTGGCTTGAATGACATACATGGTGATGGGGCTGTGGTTGTCAGGCCCGGGTCTCCAGGAGAGCTGAGCAGTGGTGTCTGTGATTTCATCTATTGTCACAGCCTCTGGGGGACCTGGAGGACCTGGGAAAGAGCAAGACCCCCAGAATTGGAGCAGTGTATTCAAATACCCAAGTAAAGGATCCACATATTTGAATGGGGCATTGACCCATTTATTTATAAACCCACTCACAGATTCATCACTTGTTAAATCCTTTGGAGTTCCAACTATATGTTGGGAACTTTGTTTGGCTTGGAAGCCACAGAGATAAAGGAGACACAGCTCCTTCCTTTGAGGAGCCCACAGTTTAATATGAAAAACTAATAGGTAAACAAATAATTACAACAACATATTTAATGTTAATAGAGAATATTGGGGTACCATAAGGGTCCATATTCATTAATTTATCATCTATTTATAGGCTCCTACTATGGATCAGACAGTGTTATTTGGGGATATAGTAGTGAGAAAAGATAGATGTTGCTCCTGATGTCATAAAGATTATAGTCTGCTAGAAATTGTTATTTCTACCACTGGGAATATAGATTTGAGCAGAAATGGCTTTAAAACTTTGAAGGTTAAAGTGCTGCTCTGCACATTCTGCTGCTCTGTAATTACTAGCACTCTCCTCAACCCCCAACCCTGCATCCCACATGAGCACACACTTGTGTGCAAGGGAACTGCTGTGAAAATGGCCAGTGCGGAACAGTCAAGGCGCTCCCTTCTTCAAAGCAATCTCAAAATTGAGCTTGATTCTAAAGACCCTCATTTGCAGTTTCTGCAAGTCATACCTGTATTTTTCTACCTCTCTTCCTGATGTTCATTGTTTCTGTCCATGTACTTAAATCATGGACAGGGGAAGAAATCAGATTTAAATGAAGGCTTGAAACTAATAAAGAAATAGAGGGATGAAAAGCAGCTGGCAGGTAAAGACGAAATATCAACAAAGCCAGAGCAAAGACCCACAGCTACCCTACTTTCCAACATGAAAATCTCTTACCAGGCAATTAAAAGCATTTTTAACAAGGTACAACTGACCACCTCAGGAGGGAAGGTGATGGTGAGACGACATAATGACAAACCTCATGCCCATTAGATGAGCATAAGGAGATATTCCTAGGAGGGATTTGCTAATCCCCAGTCTAGCAATCAAATGTACTACCCAAATACTATCTGGCCATGTCACAGGGACAGGGAAAAAAGAGACCTCTCACAGAGCAGTGCAACGTTAACGGCAATTTCCTGAAGTTAGACTTTGTTCTAGAATTCACTCCTTCACCCTTTACGTGATGCCCTAAATTCTCTTTCCTTTTTTAAAAATCATTTTTATAGACCCTCAGGTGAGACTAAATTTATCTTCTCCCTCCCACTCCTGAATGAAATGTCTGGAAATCTATATCCTGGAACTGATTAATTTTCCATGGTGACATTTCAGCATGTCAGTCTAATGCCACCGAGATAGAGTTGATGTAACCTTTGGTTTTGGGACCCGTTTTAACCAGATAAAGTCTAGAAGACAATTTAACTTTTACTTTTTTTTTTTTTTTTTTACCAGTTTTCTCATCCTGGCATCCCCCACCTTTTTTCTTTATGGATGCTGCATCGATGGCCTTTAAAACCAAAGTACCACAAATAGAAAAGTGTTTCCCTCTGAACTCTTCAAAGAATTAAATCAATAGGAAATACCGAGGTCCATTGTTGGCCTCTCTATAGGAAGGAAATGAAGGGCTGGTATGAATTTGGCCACTGGAGAGAAGATAGTACGTTCCTGGATTTGTTTGTTCTTTTTTATCTTCCGGTCCCCGGTTCCTACCCATGCGTAGATATGACCTTACAGAGTGTTTACCAACTTTGTTTTGGGGAAGTTGACTCCCTCTTTCAAAATGAAAAATGTACAAATATTTGTCCTCTGAACAAAATGATAACAAACTCAGCGGCATGTAGAAGATTTTGTCCTGGGCAACGGCAAAGAGAAGATTGGTTTGATTCTGGGGTCTGCTTCTCCCTCAGGAAGGGTGGCCTTTCTGGCTGCCATTAGAGTACTATATGTTAAATAGAGCAGGCCTCAGAAAATCAAAGAAACTGGAGCCAAGACTCAAAGCTGCTATAGTTTCAAATATGAAAATCTCTTTCAGGGTGGTGAAATACATTCCACCTCCCTTCTCTGTAATGTGCAAGAAAAGCTGCAAGGGCAGAGCTGAAGGAGATAAAATGAAAGATTATGGTTTTAAACAGCATATTAATTTATTGGCTTTATTAACTGATTAGACTAGATTTTCTTTTAAACTGCGTTTGCAAATTCCTCCTGGTATTTAATGTTATTTTCTGTGAAATGAAGTATACAATATCATTTAAGAACTTCAAGTATTACTGATTTAAATATTTATTAGTCTAATTTGTTGGTGTTTAAACTGCTAATCTGAACATTATCCTAATTAAATAGAGGATAAATTTTCAGCAACAGAATTCTTTTGTCCCCAAGGGGAGAGCAGAACAGCACTGGTATATTTTAAAATGGAAATAAACACATTTCTATAAGTTATTATATGGGCAGATATACCTAGGTTAAAAGTTTTTTCTCATATCTAGCCCTTGTCTACACCGTTACTGACAGTTTTTTTAAAAGGCAATTTAAAGGGGAACAAAGCAGACACATTGGAACTACTATTTTTCTTCAACCTCTCTTGACAATTAGTTTAAGTTGCTAACTCCCACACATTTCCCCCCTTACTTTATGCCAAGAGGATATAGCAAAACTCTTTATGGCTTCCAATAATGCTTTGTTCTCTGTGCATGCAGATTAACCCTGCCTCCAATTCTAATATCCTAAATTTTCATTTTCTTGCATTCGAAGTTTTGCCATGCACTCTGCCTGCTGTCCAAATATGCCTCAACACCAACAGTTACAGATTCCAATGAAGGAGACTCTAGCCAAGAGATTATTTTGATATCTGGATTGGCCTCGCTTAATGCTATAGAAAGCCCCTGAGCATGCATAGGTTGGATTTTGGTATGTACACTGGTTTGTGAGGATTTTAATTTTCATTTAAAAGTATTTCTTAAAAGTCCATTTACAGTTTTTTTGCCAAGTGGTTTGATGAGGCTTGGAATGTACTCAATTGGTGTGCCTCAGCCGAGGGGTCACAGCTCTCAGGTCCAAATTAGTTCATATTGATAATATTCAAGAGAATCTCAAAAATGTTAGTATTTACATCAACTCTCAGCTTATTTACTATATCCCAGGCAGTCAGGAAGTGTCCTCTCCCAAAACCCTATTTTAGGAACTGAACAGCACTGTGAAGTTCAGGGAAAAAAGCAAACTCGGAAAAACCTGGTGATAATTTTACTTAAGCTGCTGTTATACCAGTGGCCTAGGATACTAATTCAATTTAGCCCAGATGAAATATAAAAAGGCACAGTTTAATCCCTCTTTAAACTATCTGCTTTTGTTCACCTAAAATTATTCTAGGAGGTGATATCAGCTCCAACAGCCATCATCGGTCACTTGAAAGAGTTATTTTTAGCGTAAAGTTACTGGATGTGTTTGGTGCATTTTCTGACAACCGCCGCTAAGGAACTGTACATGCACAAGAAACTTTTATGGACTTTTAGCCACTGTTTACAATGTTCAGCTTTTGCCTGACTTTTTTCCATAATTCTAAACCACTGAGGTTTTTGGAACTCTGTGCTAGAGTAGATATCACGAAAGTATTTCAAGAGCAACAACAACAAAATCCAATACCTCTTACAATCAGGTCTGCAGCAGCAGAGAGCCTGTCCACACTTGTTTGGACCATGCAGACATATTTCCCAGCATGCTTCAGTTGGATGTTTCGAATCATCAAATCACCAGCTGAATCCTGCTGATAAAGTAGGGGAAAGTGGCTACAATTACTTTTTAATGAGCTCTAAATATCATTATCACATGAAGGACACTGTGACTAATGGATTTATTTTACACTGGCTGATGAAAACATTAGTGATGCAACCCATAGCCTATTAAAAATATGTGAGGCTGCCTGAGAGATAAGAACACCAACATTTTCAGAACACATATTCGACAAGACCTTAGGTGTCTGGCTTCTTCAAGTCCCTGGAGCAGTTCGCCACCCACGTTGGAAGGAGGTAACTTACGGTGGCTCTTGATCTAGTTTTGTGAGTTTCTTCAGACACACCCTCAGTATATAGACTTTGTTGGCATTCTGATATTTTAGAACTCTATAGTTGGAAAAGGAAAGCAAGCCCACATTTGGAGGTATCTGCATTTTACTGCACAACTCTTTCTTATGATCAGCATTCTTATTGCTCCCAGGTTTGAATTAAAGGATTAGGAAGACCAGACTCTCCGAGAAAATCTCGCTTCACCTAGTATGGAACAGTGCTAATTTGTATTCCAAATGCCAAATGCAAGTTTGATTAGCAGATGAACTGGACTAATTACATCCAGGTCTGGATGTCTGTGTGCCACAGAAATATTCCTACAGCATTTGCCAGCACAGTACTTTTAATAAATGTGAGATGATTCCACAGGCTATCACAGAGGCAGCATTTTACCTGAAGAACGCTGCTACACCTTGGAGTTTGGTTCATAGCCCTGTTAATCAAAAGTATGGAGAACAGCTGCTTGAACAAGCGACCACCCTAGAGACCAGATTTGAAAAACTACATTTCATTCTAAACCCGTAATGGATGACAAGATAATTTAGGGTATATTGGCCCTCTGTCATTTTCCCATTCCATACTATACAGTAGGAAATTGACACAGACCCTTCTGTTGCTATTTCTCCAATGACAATAGTAATGGATAATGTTTAATGGTATTTACTATATGACAGGCAGTTTCCAAGTGCTTTATTTATATTAAACTTACTAAATACTCACATGTCCTCTGAGGCAGGTATTCTTGTTATCCTTATTTTACAGATGAGGAAATTACAGCACAGAGAGGTTAGGAGATTTGCCTAAAGTCACTTAGCTAAAATATGGCAGAGCCAGGATTTGAACCCATATAGTTCCTGTTATTAACAATAACACTAGACTAGCATCCAGAAAGACCATATCCTCATTCTCCTTCAAAATTAATGTGTACTTGGTTTATGTCCATCGTTTCAGTACAACATGTCACATTCATATTTACCAAGGATAATGGAAGAGATAGAACTGCCAATTAGAAATAAGATTAGAAGAGATGCAAAAGTGTGGAGTGAAGGAAGAGCTACAGTTTTGGTGCTTACTTGTCTTGGGCCGATTCCTGCTGTGTGATTTCATCTAAATCTCTTAATCTCTCTTGGCCTTAATTTACTGATTTTTGAAAGACCTTTATTGACCATCATGCTAGGTTGTAAAAATCAAATGAGATTATCTGTGTATGTGAAAACCTTCTGAAAACTGTGAAACATAGATTAATGTGAAACTGGTATTACTGATGGCCATGATCCATTTTCTTTGTGAAACAATCATGTCAAACGATTGTTAAATATTTCCTAATTCAGGAAAAGCTGTGATATTTTAACCCAAAATGTCTTTCGTTTGTAACACTTGGTTTCTCATCCAGATGCCACTATTTATAGATCAAGTCTTATAATTGCTCAGTAAAATGGGAAATAATTGTTAAGTTATTTGACAAGATTTCTGTGAGGATTAAGAAGCTATTACAGTCATCCTTTGGTAGACACAGGGGATTGGACTCAGGACCCGTAGTATACTAAAATCTGCACATACTCAAGTCCTGCAGTCAGCCCTCTGAAACCTGTGTATATGACAAGTCAGTCCTCCATATGTGTGGGTTTCACATCCCAAAAATATTGTATTTTCAATCTGAGTGTGGTAGAAAATAAATCCACATATAAGTCGACCCAAGCAGCTCAAACTCATGTTGTTCAAGGGTCAAATGTATATAAGAAAGTACTTGATAAATGATTAGGCACTTTGCAGATACAAGGAATTATCATCACTAGTATCATAATCATTATGATGACTGATACTTTACCTAAGAAATTTCACGTACTTTACCTCAGAAAATTCATATTTGAATACAGGATTAAAAAAATATGCCCCAGGGAATGTGTGCAGGGAAGATGGGAAGCCACATTGGCCTTAAGGAAATGCCTACACCATCTCACTAATTCACTTATTCATCAAGGGCTTAAATGTCAAAGAAACTTGTAGCCTGGATATTTCAGAACACAGCAACCTATCAGCAGAAAATTTTGATTTTGTGATTTAGAACGTACTATAGTTATTTACAAATTTTGACTGGATTTGTGTTTTTAAAGTAAAACTGAAACAAAGAAGAAAACAGAGTCAGGAGTAAGGTAGGAGTCTCATTAAAGGAGACCATAATAACTTTTTCTTTCCCTTTGAAGTCATCCAGACCTAACCATTAACTAAGATCTACATTTTTTATGTTCCTACCAAAGAAAACAACAGCATCTGCTTATTTTCCCCTACTGCAGTCTGTTCTGTTCCTGACAGAATACTCAAGGGGTATCAGAGGACAATGAAATAACAACTTTTCTAAAACCTCAATAGGTTAGCTATACAAGCATCATTTCCACCATGCTGACACAGGAAGTTGAAATGGAAATAGACTTGACTTCAGAATTGCACTTGCGTATCTCTTCTATTGTTAAGTCCTGACTCCACAGATATTAATGATCCTGGTGGCTAATACACTTAGATCTCACATGTAGTTGTGCTGTCCTTAATTTTCTATATATTTCTCATCAGGAGTTGGTGTTAGCACTAAACCGAGGAGACAGACATTTCCCATAGAAAGATGAATGTGAGCAACACTAGGGAGTGCTGTCTCTCCAAAAGGTGGTCATCAGTGTTTGACTTCATTAGGGTGAGTCCCTGTTTCTGCCTCAACACTGGCACCATCCCAGCATAAAGTCTACATGTGTCTGAATGGTAGGACATCCACTTCGATTGGTCAGGCATCTGTTCTGATTGGTTGATGCTTGTGCCATTCTGGGATTTAGCACTTTTAATATCTCTCCTGACCAAGAAATTGGTTTTAATGTGAGAACATTCTGCTCAATTTATGAAAGATGTTCTCAATTTATACTTTCCTGTTATTACAATCAACGTTACCCTTCTTTCAATTAATACCACCATTAAAGTTTATCAAGTACTACTTTTGTGGTAGGCATTGGGCTATGCACTTTCCTAGATCTCAAAATATTCAATAACTCCAATGTCTCTGTGAAGTAGTTAATATTTCTCTCAGCCAGAGTTATTAAGCTGAACCATGTGAAAGAGGTCCAGAATGGTTACATTGGCAATTCATCCAATTTTTCTCAATCAGGTTTGCAAGCAATAATCCCTAGTGAACTAAGGCTTCTACTGATGTAATGAATTAACTTCTTTCCTGTGCCATCTAAAGTTGTACCAATCAGATACCACACTTGGCATAGAATTGAGGAAACAGGCATTGAAATGGTTTTTGGTGTTCTGTGATTTAACTGCAGAAACTCTGTTTGCTAAAGGTAGCAAGAATGTAATGAACAGGGCTAGTACTATAGTTGGGTGGAAAATATGCTTTTAGTGTATCATATGGACGACTTCAGAAACTTATTCTCAACATAGAGGGGATGGACAGATTTTTATGGCAGCATAGAAAGTGGGGAGGGCTTTTCAAATTAGTACCCCATTTTTATATTCTGCTATGTTTTGGTTGGACTCCTTTATAAAAATGGCAGCCAGAGTCAATCTTTATTATCAGTGGGACTATAGAGCTGTGTTAGAACAGAAAAATTTTTTTTGAGAATGATTGTGATAGACACAAATTGTTTCCAGATTTATCCTCTTCTTGTTATGTGTTCAATGATAATACACAGTTATGGAAAGTAAGGCATTTCGAAAACTCAATCATTTTGAATTCAAATTACCTGGAGATAGTAAATAACCCAATCAGACCTTCAGATACAAGAAAGAAAACCTGGCCTGGCACAGTGGCTCATACCTGTAATCCCAGCAGTTTGAGAGGCCAAGGTGGGCAGATCATGACGTCAAGAGATCGAAACCATCCTGGCCAACATGGTGAAACCCCATCTCTACTACAAATACAAAAATTAGCTGAGCATGGTGGCATTCACCTGCAGTCCCAGCTACTTGGGAGGTGGGGCAGGAGAATTGCTTGAACCCGGGAGGCGGAGGTTGCAGTGAGCCAAGATCACACCACTGAACTCCAGCCTGCCGACAGAGCAAGACTTCAAAAAAATGAAAGAAAAGCCTAAATTCACAATGATGAGCCTTCTACAAGGTCAAAGGGAGTTTAATTAGCAGCCTACAAACAGAAGAAAGCTATCCTTAAGCTATTTTCTTAATCAGATTCTAAGGTATATGGTATGATTTGTGACACAGAGTTTGGGATTTGAAGTTTTACGCTGAGTTCTGTGATTCAGTAGCTATGAGGACAAGACAAGTCATCCAATGACTGTGAACCTCAATTTTTAATTCATACACCCAATGAATAATTAACCTATAGGATTGGTGCCAGATAGAGAGCAACCTTGCCATATAGGGCTGCTCAATGAGTGATGCCACATTTATTGTGCAAAAAGGAGCAAGAATTAACGAAGAGTTTCTTGCCATAAGATTATCTGAACAAAATTCTAGAATAGTAACTTTAAATATATTGTTAAGTTGGTCTAAACAAGTTGGTTTGAGTCAGTTTCGAGAAGTTCATTTGTATACCGTGTTTTCTGTGGACAGTTTGATATTAATACTTACCCCTCCGACTCTTTCAAAGTGGTCTCCATCTCTGTCAAAGTCTATCAGGTGTCCATTAAATGACCAAGTGAACACGATGTCTAGCGAGTGATCATGTGTTACCTGGCACAGCAGAACAATACTTTCTCCAACAGTGACATCCATACTGGAAGGGGGCACCATTACCCTTGTTGGATCTGCAGAGTTAAAACAAAACAAACAACAACAACAAAGTCTGTGAGCTTGTGTGGAAATAAAATGTAGACTCCAAGAGCAGGATGAAATACTAAGTAATTTTGCTTTATTTTTTCTGAGGCTGTGACCAGCAAACCTCAGTCATCTGGGAAGCTCAGACTCAGGTCAGGAGGTCATTTTTCATATGAAAAGATGAAAACACTCATTATGTGAACCTTCTCAGAGCAACAGAACTCAGCCGGGGAGCATGGAGGTGAGATCTCTGAAGATGCTCATGGAAGGAGCTTTCTGGCAGCCTGCTCTGAATTGAAAAGGTTTTCATATCTCTCCAGTTTCACTAGAAAGCCACATAGAAGGCTTTCACTAGAAAACTGAGTGCAAACAGAAAAAAAATTCACGTTGATTTGAAATTTGTTGGGCTGTTTTTTTTCTATTGTAAAAGTAATAAATGTTTTAGTACAGGGAATTTAGGAAATTCAGGAAAATTAAAAGAAGGAATAGAAAAACAAATTATACCAGATAAAACATCTATTTTCATGGTGGTATAATTTCCCCCAGTCTTTTTGGCTCATACTTTTTCAGTTGTTTTGTTTTACACCATTATAAACATAAGACACATACGATTTGCCTTTTTCTCCTCCTTAATATTATATAGGCATGTTTATTCCTTTTTGAACATAGTTTTATAATCTGCCTTAGCTTTATAGTTTTAACTATTTTGGAACTAGTTGGCATTTTAGCAAATTTTATTAGACATTTTCTAAAATTTATAATTAGAAATCATAAATAATGCTGTAATGAACATCACTGACAAAATGATACAGGTATAGCACTTCTTTAAAATAAGGACCATCAGTTAGCTTTAAAATTCACCTTTACATTATAGTTTAAACTGGGAATAGAATAGGCTTGCTTAGCTGAGATAGTTTGCAAACTCCAAAACTGCATTTACACCCATATTCCCTTATTTTTCTGCAACATTATTTCATAAATGGTGTCAGAGAGTACAATAGTGAGAAGCAGTTTGAATTCAATATAAAGGCCATATACGTGCCTAAAGAATAAAATTCTGAATTAAGCCATATTCCAGAAATTTCTATATACTAAACCAAGCCAATCAAACAATTACAAAGCAGACAAACCAAAACCAAACCAAACAATAAAAGAACATTGACTAATCCTCTCCCATAGTCATAGGATTGCATTTCAGGCTATGAGGTATATAAATATTTATTCAGGGAACCTCTTGGATTAAAATAGCAGCTGAGAATTTTGAAATTATAAATGATGGGAGGATTTTTTTGAGTCTTATTTACTGACAACCCACACTAAAATTTCCTCTTTAAAGACAGTATTTGAAACCATTTTTCCATCCTTTTATCCAACTACAGAAAGAAAACCTCTCAGATAGTTAGAAAAAGAAAATCTCTGTCCTAAATAGGTTATAATCTAGTAGTGGGATGTACTTTTTCTGTTTTCTAAAAATAGGAAAAGATCATGACAAGTGGATTAATGTGCTTTTAGTCAACATTGAATGAGTGATGTCCATGAAATGAGAAGTGAGCAACAGGTACAGCAAAAAGGTAATGGGATGGAAAACCCCTGATTTAAAAACTCAAGGTTTCTGAGGGCTACATAATAAAAATCTGCTGTATTGATTGACTAACGACCAGGAATAGATAGTGACAAAGGTGTGTGTGTGTGTGTGTGTGTGTGTGTGTGTGTAACGAGGAAAAGTGATAAGTACAAATCTTATTCTAAGAAAATATCAAGGATTAGCCCCATTTTGACTTAAAAATTTTCCTCATGTATAAAATGAAGACTGAAACAGATCCCAGGCTAAAATGATATACTTCTATGGGTTTTATTTGATAAAGAGGCCTAATTTTACTTTAAATAGCTGCCCACTGATTCTGCAATTTAGAGTTTCATTTTAATTCATTTATTTGTTGATTCATCCACCAAGCATGGATTGTGTGTTACAAGGACAGCAGACATAACGGAGGCTGAGGGAATAAGAACAGTCATAATAACTGAGTCCCTTAGCACTGTTAAGCACTTTACATGGATTATTTCATTTATTTCTAACAAATAGGTACTATTATCATCCCTATTTAACAGATGGGCAGACTGATGTCTAAGAGTTGTTAACATATTGTCTATTGTGCAATTCTGCCTTTCTCTTTGCTGAAAACAGGATATCCACACACAAATCACGCAGAGAATAAGTCTAAGGGCATAATATAGCAATTTGCACTCTTGATTATGTGTAGTCAACTGAAGATATTTGAATGCAGAAGGAATTCAAAGAGTTTCTGCCATGGGGTGCAGATGGTTGCAGAGGGCTTCACTGCCTGAGTAACGAAGTTACTGCCTTAGACAGGTAACAGCAGTGATGGTTTTATGCCTAAAATGCTGGCTCTAGCTCTAAGCTTACACATCAAACTTATGAGTGTAGAGTCAAATGTCCAGGCTCCAGTTCCTAAAACTGTCTTGTCTCCCTATCTCCTAACAACTTCTGGGCAAGCAGCAAGGAGCTGGCACATACCCCGAAGCCTAGAGCCATTTGAAATTATGGCTCACGTTTTTGAATGGCATTCCTGTTCTAAAGAAACGTTTACCTCTTTATGCACATGTAGGGATCTGGGATGGATTTTATTATTGGTAAACTTAGCTGTCTTTTAACCAAGGACCAGAAGAGTTCCCTGAATCAAGGATTATGTTGGTACAGTTGTTGTGCTGACAGCTGCTAATTCATTAACTTAGCACTTGTCGCTGATTCATGTTCTGAGCCCTGAAGTAGCAAGAATCAATGCAAACTCATGCACTGTACACATACCAGAGAGGTCTCCTGGGGACAAGAAAAGATTAAATTAAAGAGGTTCAAAATCTCATTAGTGACTTGTTTTTCTCAAAGTGTATGTTTGTTCAGTACTCTTGTTTTCTGTGTTGTGAATTTTGATGCTTTTTCCTTGATTAATTTCCAAAAATTTGAATACAATCCCTGTATACAAACAAACAGATGGCTTCCTGCAAAACAAACTGTCTCCTCTCCTTTGGTTTTAATTCATCAAGATCGGGAAGAACCTACATCTATGACTTCTGTTCTGAAGAGTCACTTGAGCTATTGTTCTGTGCGTAGAACTTTCAAAGGCAATTAGAACTCAAGATGTAAACTGATGGCTAGATTTGGATGTAATTAAATAGAAACAATAAATAGGACCAACAACATCCCTAAACTTTCCTGATGGTGGTTGGTTCATACTGTGTAGACTGATAAATTTTGAACTTAGAGGATCGATACTTAAAAAAAAAATATATATATATATATATTTACCAAATGCTTAATTCTCCTAGAGTAAAACAAATAAATTTTTTACTCTCTGCAGTGTTTTATATAGTGTATAAATGGCAAAAGGGAAACAAAGTGCTTTGTTTTAAGGATTATAACAACCATGAGGAACAGTTATTAACTACCATTTTTAATAATATTAAGTATTCAGTTAATAATCAGATCCACAATTAGACGTATAAATTACAAGCCTTATTACATTCTCACTTTCACTGTTTGTGGAAAGACTTTCTGATTTATAGTTCGTATTACCTGTAAAAAGAAGTGTTTTGAGGTCCATTGGATAATAATTCTATTTTTTAAAACACTGCATTTTTTTAAACAGGTTCTTGTTCTATTGCCCAAGCTGGAGTACAATGGCATGATCAAAGCTCACTGTAACTTCAAATTACTCGGCTCAAGCAATCTTCCCATCAAGATAGGACTAGAGGCATGCACCACCACGTCCGGCTAGTGTTTTGTTTTATTTTATTTTTGAGATGGGGTCTCATTCTGTCCCTGAGGTTGGAACGCAGAGGCGCAATCTTGCCTCACTGCAACCTCTGCATCTCAGGCTCAAATGATCCTCCTGCCTCAACCTCCCAAGTAGCTGAGACCACAAGTGCATGCCACCATGCCCAGCTAATTGTTTCTGTGCGTTTTTTTTTTGTTTTTTTTTTTTTTGTATTTTTGGTAGAGATGGGGTTTTTGCCATGTTGGCCCAGCTGGTCTTGCTTGAGCTCCTGACATCAGCCAATCTGCCTGCCTCAGCATCCCAAAGTGCTGGGATTACACGTGTGAGCCACTGGTCCCAGCTAATGGTTTATATTTTTATAGGCAAAGGGTCTTGCTACACTGCTCAGGTTGGTCTCAAACTCCTGGCCTCAAGAGCTCCTTGTGCCTTGGCCTCCCAAAGTGCTGGGTTTATAGGCGTGAGCCGCTGCACCTGGCTGATGTTCTTATTATCTGCAAAACTAAGTGCTTTTGGGTCCACAGGATAAGAATTCCATTTTGATGTTGCTTTCCTAATACACTTCCAATTCTTCCATTTTAGTTTATAATTTCTTTATCTTTCATTTACAGTGCTAATATATTCACTTGGTGCCTATCAGGATAATATTTAATGTGTGTTTTAGTCATCTTCATTCGTGGAAGGAGACACATCTCTTTTGTTAACAAATTTCTTGACTGTAATGGTTTTGATGATGCCTTTCAGTAGGGTTGTATTTTTTTTCTTAAATTAGTTTTTATAGGGAGAATTTAAAAAATGGGATTCTTCAAAGGCCTGGAGCTAGTCAAAGAGCAGACAGCAAGCCCACCTCAAATAACACAAGGGGACTGGTCAGAGAATTTTTTTTTTTTTTTTTTTTTGAGAAACGAAGTCTCACTTTGTCACCAGGCTAGAGCGCAATGGCACGATCCCAGCTCACTGCAATCTCTGCCTCCCAGGTTCAAGCAACTCTCTGCCTCAGCCTTCTGAGTACCTGGGATTACAGGCACCCACCATTATCCAGATGAATTTTTGTATTTTTAATTGAGATGGGGTTTCACCACCTGGGCCAGGTTGGTCTTGAACTCCTGACCTCATGATCTACCCACCTCAGCCTCCCAAATGCTGGGATTACAGCCATGAGCCACCTCACCCAGCAATAATTATTTTTAATAATATTT